GGTGCACCGATAGAGTTCACAGTTTTTACCGTTTATCCCCATGACTGTGCGTTTGTCACCCGCGACGAACTCGCCGTTAAAGGCGGTGTTCACTTTCACGCTACCATGTGTGTCTATAGCGCCCCGCACACGCTCGAGCACTACACTACTGGCGTCTTCGAGGAATTGTCGCGGCTCGATATGTCTGGAGTTTATAACCGCACCGGTCAGAACGCGATTGGCGAAAGCGGCGTCGATCTCGCGCCAAGCGAGAGAGTTCTCGCGATCACCACCACCACCACCCACGTGCACGAACCGTTGTTCCAACACTGTTCGCGCACCCACGAGTCGCGCGATCCTCGCCACCGCGGATTGTCTATGCCCGACGGTGAGACGCGGACGCTTGGCGCGACACTCGAGGCTCTCGATGCACTCGTTGCACCTCTCCAACCACGGGAAACACTCGCCCAATGTAGCTACGCGACCGCAATGTTCGAACAGTTCGCGTTCCGCACGCTCGTAGTCTTCCATTGTTAGAAAAGAGTGTTATTCGGAGCACTTGCACGCACGTTGATCGCACGTTTTGCAAGCCCGCTCTAGATACACAATGTTAAAAACAGACAACACCTTTTCGTTGTGGCTTTGGCAGATGATGCACTGTTCGCACTCCACGCATCTATCGTCACACGGTTCGCGTAGTCTCTTAACGATAGGATGCGACTCATCAAAACGATTGTACCCGAATATGTATACGTCGTCTATCATCACCACCTCGGCCCTTTTGCCACTGTACGTGTCTATTGCGATGTTACCGCACGAAGCCTCGAGTCCACGCTCGAATTTATCCCTCACCCATTTATAGTCTGTTGCGTTTTCCGCGTTTATGCACCGGTCTTGTAACCGCGTGTACAGTTCTCGTCGCGCGAACGATGACCAATAATCGTAAGCGGGGTACGTGGTCACGTTTACGTTTTTCACGGTGCGATCCCCGTGAAGCTCTCGGTCGCGCAGTATCTGCACCGGCGATGTCCGCGCACTATAGTCCGGCGGATTTTCAAGCACGTCTTTAACGTCTTCCACGAGTTCGTTAAACTCTTGCTCCTCGTCCCACAACTTGTTCATATTTTTTTCCCCCTTTACGCTGTGCAGATAGGACACACACTGCACTGGAACACCAGACACATGAGTTTCCGGCAATTGGAGCACGTTTCGGCGCTGAGGACTTCGATGAAATCGGTGTCGTGCTTCCTGATCAGCAGCATCGAACCGACTTCGGCATCGGCGATGTTGACCATGCACTCTGCACACAGGGCGAGCGCTCCGCCTGTAGAGTAGTAACACTGGATCTGGCAGTGTTTAACGCGAAAAACACCCAGTGCCCGGATTTGCGCGTCCGGGATAATTTTTCGCACACGATCTGTAGTGTTCTCAAGATCGCTGACGCATCCGGTATCTACGGATAACACGCTGTCGTCGGAAGACTCGACGTCCATAACGTCTTCGTCAACGTCTTCGACGTCAACGTTCATCACTTTGTCACACACTGCGTATATTCGGCTTGCACATTTAGACACACGCGACACTTAATGAGGCGTACCGCGCTTCCGACTCGCTATTTATACCGTTTGCGGCTTCTTTGTCAGCGTGAACGCGTCTTCCTAGAACTGCATCTCGCCACTCTTCTTAGAAATTTTATCGCGCGAGATAACGCGTAGTAATTTGTTAACGTTCAGCAGTCATCGGCGCTCTTCTTAGAAATTTTATCGCGCAAGATAACGCGTAGTAATTTGATAACGTTCAGCAGCCATCGGCGCTCTTCTTAGAAATTTTATCGCGCAAGATAACGCGTAGCAATTTGATCCTTGTGCGAACCTGTCGTTGAAACTCGGTATCGTCTCGCATTTTGAAAACGCCCGGCATGCGTCACGTGATCAGTGCCATGTGATCGCTGTGCGAACCTGTCGTCGCCTGCATCGCCTGCGGTCTTTTGACAAAGAGCGGCGCGATAAGGCCGGCGGCCTTTTGTAACGAAATATCCCGAGGGGGGGCGGCCCGGTGGCGGCGGCCCCGAGGCCCTATTCTGTAACTCGTTAAGGCAGTTAACGACATCGTTGCGCAGATATCTTATGGTATAAAAAGCTGCGCAACGATGTCATTAACTGCTTAACGAGTTACAGAATACGGCCTCCGGCGCGATAAGGACCGGGATTCATTAACTCGTTATGATTATAACGACATATGACGCTACCAGTAACGATACCGACTTTCGTCGCGTGTAACAAGAGATCGATACCGACAATGCGATTCCGTAACTCGGCATAGCGATACTTTAACGTTGCAGAATGTGATAACGAAATGTCGTTATTTAACATTATCGTTATGCGCGAAAGCAAAGAGGAAGTGCGTATATATATCAAATCTTAGGGGAAAACTTGTAAGTTGATATTTCGTGGATAGCGGCATCAGTAATTTACTTAAAAGTTATAAATTAATTACAAGTGAAATACAGGCTGCGGTCAGAAATTACGCCTATAGGTAACTTTTGAGTGCAATATACGTAACGTAAACTATAGCTTAGAGTTATCTAGGCCTAGTTCCTGAACGCAGCCCAGTTATTACGATTAAATTAACGAGTGAAATGCAATTACGTACGTAATACTTTATGTGTTTTATTGCAGTGACTCAAGCGTAATGACTTCTGAATTGCAGTAAGTACGCAAATATCTTTAATAAAGAAATACAAAAGTTATGTACAGGTTATGTATGTTGTTATATGTTTATGCCGAGTAAAATTCCTTATTTTAAGTTTGAATTATTTTTTTCCGAAAATATGAAAGAACAGGGACCAAAAAGAGGCAGGCGAAAGCAACGGCAGCTCAAATAGACTACATGGTAGACTATTTCGTGCAAAATCCACACGTTGCCACGGGCAAGTTTCAAAGCCTACATGGGAATTCCGATTTAAGAAGTTCATGGGAACAATTAGTCATTGAATTAAATAATATGGGAAAAGACGGAAAGACTAAAGATATAAAGTCATGGAAATCAGTGAGTCAATCAATAAAACTTAAATTTAAAATATTATGTCTAACATGTAACTGTAAAATATTTTAGTAATAAATATTTTAGACATGGCGAGATAATAAAACTGCAGTTTCCCAAAAGATTGCAAAGATTCGTGCTAATCGAAATGCGACAGGAAACGTTGGTGGTCCTCCTGATAAATTGACAGACCGAGAGAAAAAAATTTTAGGTATCATGGGTTTTGATTATGTGGAGGGCGTACAATGTCCTGATTCGTTTCCAGAAGAACAAGTAATGAAAAATTTGTAAATACAACTGTTACAATTTCACAAATATAGAACGTTTTTTATTTTAGTTAAAAATTTGAAAAAAAAATCTTGTTTCTGATATATATGAAAATAATCTCAAATACACGTTTATAAAACATTTGTTTCGTAAATGTTAATTTTAGACAAATGCAATAATTTTGCTTGCTGAGGGGAACGAAGAAATTTTAAACAATATTCCTGAACCATTAACAATACGGGAAAGCATAATTGATATTACGGAACATGACGTAAATTATATTAGTTAGTACATTTTTCTTAATATACTGCATGTCAAGATAAATTATATAAATGTATTATTCATTATTGCTTTGGAAGTGAATAAATGCAACATTGCTTATAATGTTTTATTCCTGTCCACATTATGAATTATTAGATGCTACTTGTGAAGGAGGATCATCTGGTAATATTATTGAGACACATTCACAAATCAACAATGTGGAGACTGCAGAACACCATCGCGAAATAACAGAATGGTCGTCGAGTGTTCCAATTAATGAAGATACGATACCACAATCGCTCACAACTGTTACGCAGAGTTCGTCGAATAGGAAACGAAAAGCACCGCAAACTGTAAGAAGGAGTAAGTATTGCTATACTTTTCTTCTATAACAACTTACGAGAGCTCAGATTATAAAGGTAATGTTTATTTTTAAGACACTGAACGGTTGGGCACACAGCTGCAGAATGCCAGACAAGATTTTGCAACCCTAGCTGAGCGTCAAATTTCATGTATGGAGGTAATAACTGAAATTATCAAAATGTAAATTCTTTAAAAGGAAATACATTATTTTAATACAGTGCTCGGAATTATGGAAAAAATTATGAAGAAATAATTCTTGAAATTATGGAAAAATGGGAGGTATCGCTTCAGAGATTCGGTCAAAAAAGGCATGTAATGCCGAGCACTGTTGCAATAAATTAACTGCTTTTAACGTACTTTTTTTATTTCTTCAGATGTTTGCTAAAGCAATGCAGCAAATTACGGACAACGAAAAGGATCGGAATGAATGTCTACGTGCTTTCGTAGAAGCGGAGAATAGTAGAGAGAAAACATATTCCGAAATAATGACAATAATAAAAGATTGTGTTCAAGTATTTAAAAAAGATTACAATGTTATTAATCCGTAGTTTATTTTGTTTTTTCTTACTTTGTTATTTATTACTATTCTTTATTATATTCTTTACTATATTAGTAGTTTAAAGACATTAAGTTTTCTAAAGGTCTTTAGTTTAAAAAAATAAGGTTTTCAGTTTAAAGACAACAAAGTGTTTGTACTATTTGCCGACCACGAAAAGATGTTTATTTGAATAAAAGACTGATGTTTTTATATGAAAAGATGTTTATTTGAATAAAAGACTGATGTTTTTATATGAAAAGATGTTTATTTGAATAAAAGACTGATGTTTTTATATGAAAAGATGTTTATTTGAATAAAAGACTGATCTTTTGACATACAAGTTTTTTCTTTGAAATTGTTATCCTTTATGCACATACATATATACGACATATATACATATATACGAACATAATCACATAAATCTTATTAACTTACAGGCAATAAAATATCTATTCTGTATCACAAAAATATGTATGGCTGTAAAAACCATTTGAAATTAATATTCTCATTTAAAGCATACAATAATAAAGAATAACTGAAAAATACACATTTAATCACCTTCAGCTTGTGCATCACGATAATTGGGAAATCTTTCTCTCATTATTTGGCGTTGAATTCTTTGAGCCAAAGCACGTGGTCCTCTTTGAATTACATCTTCGTTGATTTCATTAGCCCCAGCATTTTCATTTTGAGGATTATTAGCAGCTATTGGTGCTTCGAATTCTTCGAGATGCAAACGATGTCGAATTCTTATGTTATGCAATACTGCACATGCATTAACTATTTTTGCAGCAAACACTGGTTCATACATCAGCACACGCTGATAGGAACAACATCTCCATACAGATTTGAAGACACCAAAGAAACGTTCAACGACATTTCTTGCTTTACAAAGTTTCTGCGTGTATTGGAATTGTCGTGTGTCTTCAGGAAAATCGGCCAAAGGCATCATGAGCCATGGTTCCAACGGGTATCCAGCATCGCCTAATAAAATTGTAACAAATACGCTAAATAAATAAAATTTGAGATAATTTGAAATCTTAATTATTTATAAACGCTTTAAATCTTAAATATTTATTGACGCTTTAAAGAGAATATTGATTCCAAATCGCTTTTACAAAATTTTTGTGACTCAGAGTAGATGTGTTTTATAAAAATATTTGTTTTATGTTGCAAAGTCCTTATTTTCATTAAATAAGTCTCACCGATCAGCCAAGTTTTGCGTTCTCCTCGATTGTAATGGAATTCCATTACTCGACGAATTGGTGATGTGCTCCAGATGTATGCGTCATTTCGTGCACCAGGGTATCTCGGATTAATGTTGAGTATCTTCATTTCTGGATCAACAATCTGAAAGCATAAATAGGTATATTACATTCAGGCAAACGTTTTGCAACAAACGTACATTCTATTCTTGCTTAGTTTACCGTTTGCACATTTAAAGAATGGCGACCGTGATGATTAACGAATGCCTCTTCATTTTCGCGTGGACCTATAATATGAATGAAAGTACAGTCTATAGCACCGATAGCACCTTCGAATTGATACGCAGCAACGGAGAATTTTGCACGCGCTTGTTGTCGATTGATTGCTTCAGTTACGGCATGAAGACAACGACTTGTTGTTGGCTGGCTGACAGTCCAGAAAACTTGATTGCCGACACTTCTTTGATAACTGCCTTGGGCGTAAAACTGTATGGCTATCAACACCTGTAATAAACGTTATAAACCTGTAAATTTATTATGAACTATTATATTACTTTCGTTCCAATATTACCTTGATTTCTGGCGCTAAGCCGGTAAGTCGTGTATTACGTAAATCGGCCCTTAATTCAGTTGCGATCTCGATTACAATTTCTGGAGTTAAGCGAAAATAGTTTATAAATTTATCTCGTGGAAGATGAAATGGATTCTGAGCATCTCTCAGCTGTCTTCTTTCCATATATCTTTGTATTCTACGCATCCTTTCATTCAGTAATGCCAGTTCTCAAGCCAAATATTCGATGGCCATGTTCTCTTCAAATAAAACAATCTTTAATATACATATGTATGCCTGAATGTCAAATACAAATATTGAACGTTGTATTGTAATGTTTAACATATTATAAAAATTGAAATGTAAATGTGTATATCTTTTTCTTGGAACCAACTATTAAGTTGATTCTACAATGAGTCGATAATCGGAAATCTTAAGTCTTAACCAATCTTAACCTAAAAATGTAACAGTGATTTTTCGCATTTAGAACTTATTAATTGTATAGAAAGTCGTTTAACTTGACTAATAGGAAGGAATAAAGTCGAATTTGATAAGTCTTAAGACAATCGGTAGCCTTAGCAAGTTGGCTGTTGGCCAACTGCCAACTTCATCTATAAGACTTAGGATTACCGACTACTGATTTATTGTAGAATCAGCATTACAAACAACGTAAACTTATACTCACCAATCCTTTGAATGTTTTTTTTTAAATGTGTGTTTACGATGTACACGTGGAAATCTTTTCTGATCTCTAAACACACTTTCACCTCTCTTCGATGCTTCGGACGCTTAACATTTTTAATTTTTAACCTCTATTAGTCATAACGTCGTCGTTAATGTGATATCGAAGGGTACCGAACCATGCGTTATGATAGTGACATATAACGACATCATATCAACGTTTTTCGTTATGAATAACGAAAATATCGTTATCATTTGCGTACAGAATTGCATTTGTCGTTATAGCGTCATAGCGTTATATAACGAACCGACAATTGTCGTTATAAGCATATAACGACAGTATAACGAGTTAATGAATCCCGCGGCGGCGGCGGCGGCGGCCAGCGACGGTTCCCCCCTCCCCCGTACCTTCCCCGCGCACCTCACCCCTCCTCATTGCTCCCGAGTTAGAACCCGCCTATTACATCTACTCATATGCATATGTATAATATATTTATTTTGTAATGTTATGCAGAAAGAAAATCAATTCACCGCTCTACTGCTGCAAAGTCAGCGGCTACACAAAAACGTTTACGTAAGAGAAACAAAGATCAGAGACGTATAATGTAAAAGTTGTAAGACACATAACACATGGAAACCTACTCAGGAATAATTATTGGAAGAAGCATTGCAAACACAAGAGCTTAATTTGAAATCTTTAGGTATTACATATTAAATCTTTACATATTAAATAAAATACATTTATTAACGTTCCTTATTTGGGTATTTTAAAAGAAATCATTATAAAGATACAAATATAAAAATAAAAGTATATTTTTTTTACCAACTAAAGGTTGTTTGTTTCAGAAAGAAATTCCGGAAAGGCGTGTTCTAGGAAGGTTTTTAAGAAGACGCAGATAATATATTATTATTAATTCATGTATATATGTTAAAAGACCAAATAGTGTATAGTCTTTATTTTATTTGAATTAATAAAAATTTAATATTATAATAATATTATATATTTAAAAATTAAATATAGTTTTGTAATAATATAAATAATATGAAATGAAATGATGATCATGATGATGATGATGATGATGATGATGATGGTAATGTGATTTAATTATAATGATTATGATGACAATGATAATAATATAATAATAATACTGATGACAATGATGATAATAATGATGATGATGATGATAAGATGATGATGATGATGATGATAATGTGATATAATTACAATGATTATGATGACAATGATAATAATATATTAATAATACTGATATCAATGATGAAAGTAACGGCAATATTAATTATGACAATAATGATAATAATATTATTAAAAAAACATTGAATTTAAAAAAATTACCTCTCCCTCTTGCGTTATATTTTTCTCTACTATTTAATAATAACTTATACTTTAATAATACATATACTATTAATTCTCTACTATTTAATAATATTTATTACAATATTTACAATATTTACAATATTTACAATATTTACAATATTTACAATATTTACAATATTTACAATATTTACAATATTTTTATTATTATTTTTATTTAATTTGAACTAATTCTTTTAATTAAATTATATATAATTGTTACATATTTATATTTTAGTTATGCCACGACGTAAAATACAACGTTCTTTTGAAGAAGAAAAAGAATTTCAGCAACAACGTCGTAAAAGAAGAGCAGATAATCAACGTCAACGTAATGAAATTATAAAAACTTTAAATAATCCAAGACCTATAACTATAGACGTTCAAGATACAATACATGATAATCGTATACGCAGGTGTGTATACCATATATCGGCGAGACGGCGGACAGACGAGACGAATACAATGAAAACGAAAGACACGGATAGAAAAACAGCAAATATCAATTACGGCGCGAGTACTAAGAAAAACGCGTGGGGATCTCCGAATCCCAAGACGGACGCGAGACGCGGTCGGCGGTATAACGATACAAATACGCGTACGCGAAGTATACGCCAGCGGCGGATGACGGTCGCGGCGCGGATAACGCGGTGGGCGTTCCCTCTATGCAATGAGGGACGCTTCGTGGAATGTAACAGGCACAGATATTCTAACGACCGACTGCCAAGAACGCTTGGCGGAGGCGAAGAACACTTCACCCCCTTTTCTCGCCGGTGCGCTAGTTCTAGGATACTGGCGTACGGCTGTCGAGAACGCTCGACGGAGGCAAAGAACGCTTTACCCCCTTTTCGCGTCGTACGGCCAGCGGATCAGGATATTTGGTGATCGACTGTCAAGAACACTTGACCCTCACTTGACCCCCTTTTCGCGTCGGATCACCGGAGCTAGGATCGGAGCGGAATTCGTAATGGAGCAACGGTTAGGATAGAAGAGAGCTCCCGGAGCAATAATTACGCGTTTTATACTAATTATTGCTCCCGCTCGTATTATTACGGCTCTTTCCGATATCGCTCGGCGGTCAGTAATTCCCACGGAGGGGATTGTCGATCGGCGATATTCGTTCGTGTTCGGTCGTAGCGGTGGTGAGCGCGAAGCGCAGATCGTTCGGCGATCTTCGGACGTGTTCGGTTGGAGCGGCGATAGCTACTGTCAACAGCGGTAATTCTAATATCGCGAAATATGAAATGTTCCTGGCGGCTGGTATCGTCGGAACGATACATTGCGGAGTGCATCGTTACAATTGACTCGTATGATTTAAAAATTTCAAGTGTAAAGCCAGTGATGTGCAATCCGTGGGAATAAAGTCACGCATGCGCATTAGGCAAACACATGGCCGCCTTAGTAAAGTATGCATTTCGGTAAATTTAAGGTACCGTTGGGCCCTCAAGAAGGAAGGAGTGCGAAGGAGTTTCAGAGAGGGAATATTATATTCTATTTGTTTCTATGAAACAAATAGAATATAATTAATATAAATAATAATAACGAGATGTATTTATTTATAATTATTTTACGTCTGCAGCCGATTTTATTACATGAATACCAACATTCGTTGCGAGGGTAAGGAAAACTGCAGAAAACCTTACCAATATTCTAACAAAACCATGGATAAAAAATATAATACATATAATCATATAATACTTAAATATTAGTACAACATATATGAATATGAATACAATACATAATACAATTACACTTAAATATTCTTATACATATTAACATATTTAATAAAATTTATAATATTTGTACAAACATTAATTTGACATATTGCTGCAATCTGATGAAATGGAGGCATTTACAAGAATTTGCTGAAACAAAATAAATTACTGATCAATGACAAACACATATAATAATAAATTTGCCTCCTCAAATAAAAAATAAAATTTCAGATGCAATCAACAATGAATAATATAAATATATAAAGACAATAAATAATAAAATATGTAAAAAATATTAAAATAAACATTCTATAAACCTAAATTGCACTCGGATGCATGTATCACAGAAAAAAATAAAGAAAGGAAATACGCGTCCAATTATAAAGCTGAAGGAATATTGCACTGCATCAATACATTAATGCTATTGCAAAAACAATAAAATTGTAATAAATAATATGAAAAAGAACAATTTTACACAAAATATAAAATCAGAAAAATGTTAGACAATAAAAATTATATTAATAGTAATTAAGACAAATAATAAAAAAATAATGGTACATGCGATTGTTTTGTAACAGCAACATAATGTAGAAAAAGCATTAGTTAACATTAGAATAAAAAGAGGAAGTGCACGTTAAAATATAAGAAGAAGAAGAAGATGATATGAGTAAGAGAGATGGTGAGTATATTTGATAAGTATACACGTGGTAAGTATAGCGCGCTGTGGGAGATGGCGACGAAAATGCATGATTTGTTTTTTCACGCGATGATACCATCGTATAGAGAAAAAAGGGCTAGAAAAGCGATGAAAAAAAAGTTTATGGTCCATATTTAGAATGTGTTAATAACGATGCTAGCACGTTTTGAATACGTGTCTAAGTAAATATTTCAGCAAAGGAATGTGAAATCCTGGACACGCGCTGCCCTTTCTATCGGAGTTCCCGGTCTAGGATCGATCTAGTATATCTAATTCTTATTGATGTTTATTGTTTAAAAAGGACTTCAAAGAATTTAAGAAAGGGACTGTTGCATCTCATGACAAAAATTGTTTGCGTAAACATTTCGGCGGTGGCGGCGGTGGCGGCGGCGGCGGTGGCGGCGGCAGCGGGCAGTGGCCCGGCTCTCCCTCCATAGCCTCACACACACACACACACCGTATCGCATATACGTACACGCACAACGCACTAACACGCGTGTATCTCGAATCCCCATATTACCCCTACTGGCATTTCTCTTTCTCTTTTAAATGATTATCTAATAATAATATATTAACCACGAAAAGTAACTGATATATTATTAATCCTAACATATCAAATAATGAAAAGGTCAAGCCATGTTCAAAAATAAATCCTCGCAAATTAAAAAACCCAACAAATTTAAACCTTTGAAAACTAACCGCAAAAATTTGATCCTTCCTAAATTAAAACGTTTACCTAACC